GACCAAGAGACTCCATGGGTTGGAAATCCAAAGTACTTTTACTAATTATAAATGGTAAGCAAGCAGCAGTGAAGCAGAAGCTGACACCACCCCATAGCTAAAGGCGATGTTGAACGAGGGGGGAGGGCTTTGCCCACGGGAGGAGGGGATGGAGGGGCAGAGGAGGCAGCCACCTCGGGAACCCCCAGGGACCCCCAGGGACAGGCGGAGGATTTGCTGCTCTGCTGTCCAGGGACAACCCCGTCTTCTGCAATCTCAGAGCCAGAAACAAGGCGGGCATGGTTGCTGCCCCTGGCAAGGTGGCAGAGGTTGAAGGGAGCCCCAAAGGGTCAGCCTAGAAGTTCAAGTAAGAGTGGAAGGTGGTCAGAGGGGGAGACCTTGCAGGCTTTCCTGGCTCCCACCTGAGAGCTTGGGCCAGCGGCAGGATTGGAATCGGGCCTGGGGTACTTGGGGGTGGGGCTGTTTGCCAAAAACGGACCCCCCCCCCTCTGAGGCACCAGACGTGGCGCAGGATGACCTGAGAATACATCACTGAGGGGGGATTCCCCCCTCCCGAAGGAAGGGAGCCTCGCTTCTCCCGATTCCAGAAGGGAGCCATCCTGGCCAGAGAGCTCTGGTCACAACCAAAGCTGGGGGGAAAGAGTTCCTAGGCTGCCCTCGTGTCTGCCCTACAGCCGGTCTGGCATATTAGGGAATGACCAAGCAGCTGTCTTGGTCATGGGGTGGGGAGCCGGCTTGTCCCACCCTTAATGTGAAGTTTCCCAAGAGGCAGTACTGGGAGAACTTTCCAGAAGGACTCCGTCAATCAGACTGAAAGCTGCCTTGAGAAGATCCCGCCCACCCAGTTCCCCTTGCAGAAGGCCAGGAAACCCCCGCCAGGCCTGCCCTCCTCCTCCTCTCTTCTGGTCCGGCCGTGGAAGAACCGGCCCATGAGCTGCCGAGGGACTGGGATCCAGCCTGGCCTTCTCAGCGCCCCCAACCCATGGTCCTGCCCACTCAAATCAAAACACAACCTTTCCAGAAAAGAAATGCCAGCAGCTGGATAATCCTTTCCCACCTGGCCCCTCCACTGCTCAGTTTGTGGGGGAGGTCAAAAGAAGGGCCTTACCTGGGGGGGAGGGGGCTACTCAGTTGGTCCTCCATGACAGACAGGGATTTGTTCTCATCTCACCAGTGCCCCTGCCTCTTGGGCAAAGGGCTCCCTTCCCTAATGGAAAGGGCTCCAAGGACGGTACACACACACACACACACACCCATGCTGCTGTGTGTCCAGCGTAACTTCTGTGGCCAGGGATGAGGAATGTCCCTCGTGGGGCCTGGGGCT